ACCCAGGACCACCAGCCCAGGGATGGCACCACTTACAATGGGCTGGGCCATTCCATCCACCCCTAATGAAAAAAATGCCTGAAGGACTGATGGAAGCATTTTTTTTTTCAAAGGAGGTCCTCTCCTTTTGGATAACACTAGCTTGTGTGTGAAGTTGACATAAGACTAGCCAACACACAGGTGTGGGGTGACTAATCTTGATAGTTAACATGTCTTAGCTGGGAAGAAGGATCCTCAGTTGAAGAATTGTCTCCATTGGACTGGCCTGTGGACATGTCTAGAGGAGTGTACTTTCTTTGTTTTTAACTAATGTAGAGGACCCAGGACACTGTGGATGGTACCATTCCTAGCCTGGATTGTATAAGAAAGGTAGTCGAACAAGCCAGAGAAACAAGTTCATTTTTTTGTGTTTTCTGCTTCCAGTTCCTGCCTTCACTTCCTGGCTTGACTTCCCTGGGTGGTGGACTGTGACCTGTAGAATGAAATAAATCCTGTCCTCCCAAAGCTGCTTGTGGTCTTGGTGCTTGTTACAGTAACAGAGATGAGAATTAGGAAATAGAAGGGACACATTGCAGCGATGAGGCGCTAGCAGCCCCTTTCATTCCTATTGCACATCACGTACTTCACGGAACTGTGACTGTTACACCTCTGCGTTTGTGACTGTGTGGTAGATTTCTTTCCCTTGGGCATGTATGGCGACATTCTAATTTTGTCTGTATAAGCAAGTGCTTTTGAATGTCCTAGTCTTTAACGACTGGCTTCAAAGGGAGGAAAATTAAGAACATGAAGGAGGAAAATTGTCACCTTCCTTTAAACACCCTAGAAGTTGATTCAGCAAGGATGTGGGGGTTGCAACAGTGGAAGGAGAAGTGAATATGGCTGCCACTTCTCCATTTGCGTCTCTGATTAGATACAGGTCTCAGTGGTCTGATCAAACGTTCTTCATATTTGTGCCCCCTCACCCCCCCACCCCCATCCCCTCCCATCGCCCCCTCCCACCCCCCCATCCCCCACCCCCAGCTCCGAGAACTACCGGTACTTTGCTATTCCAGGAACACATGCAGAGATGCCCACCTCACACCTGGGCTAGGAACGGAAATGGTCCATGATTTGCTACTCAAGTCTTCTGTTGGATGTTGCCTTCTATAGACTACAGACAGCCAAGATGGTGACATGAGCTAAGCTCTGCCAGTGTAGCCATCTCGTCAGGGAGATAGATTTCTGGCGCTTCTTTATTATCAATTAACTTTTGAACACGATTTCCAAGGTCCTTAACTTGGGGAAGAAATAGCCTCTTCAGTAGGTGGGATTGGTGCCAAGGGACAGTCACAAGCAGTTAAGCTGGGCCTTTATCTCACAAGATCTACAAATATTAATTAATATGCATCAATCAGCTTTCTCTAAAGAAACAGAACTGATAAAATGAATATATATATATATATATGTGTGTGTGTGGGGGGGCAGTGGTGGCGCACGACTTTAATCCCAGCACTTGGGAGGCAGAGGCAGACGGATCTCTGTGAGTTCGAGATCAGCCTGGTCTACCAGAGCTAGTTCCAGGACAGGTTCCAAAGCTACAGAGAAACCCTCTTTCGAAAAACAAACAATACAAAATAAAAAAAGATATATAGTATATATTATGTATATTAGAAGGGATTTACTACGTTGTTCTTTTCTGTTCATGTGGTAGATCTCAAAGATGGCCCCTAACGCTCCTTACTTTTCGTGGCCACTTACTGATATGGTGATTTTTTTTCCCTTTAATGGTGAGTTGGACTGCTGACTGACTTTAGCTGAGCCAACTCAGCAAAAGTGGCACCAAGAAGACTTTTCCTTGGCACTCTTGTGACTCAGCAGTCAACACGAGATATACATGCCTATGGCAGTGTGTTGGATGTTTTGGAAGGGGAGGTGGGTCTCCAAGAAGAAATTAACCAGCCAAGGATTTCAGATTAAATGTTTTAGAACACAGAAAAAAAAATATCCTAAATGCTAAAAAGCATTTTGATTGGAGCTTGGTAGGGGTGCTAGATGTTTCTGGTTTGAACTCTGGGAAGGCCAGCCTTGGAAGGGCCAGACCACAGAGTTTATAAAATGAAGCCGCAAGAGAATGGGGAAGGAGGCAGCTACTAAGATTCTGCCCCTCCAGCCCCAAGGAAAGCTGTGCATATCACAGGCAGGTAGGGGGAAGGGAATGAGGCAGGAACTCAACAGGAGTCAGGTGAGGCCTGCATTCTCAAAGACAGTTCCCAGTGCTCAGGCCCTGGCTCACGATGAGCCAGAGCAGGAGTGGCCATGGGAGGGTACCTCAACGTGTGGAGGCACTTTACCTCTGAGGGAGCTGCCAGAGGTGGGTCCTGCAGAAAAGACCGAAAAATCAGCTAGTCTGTGGAATGGACTCAGAGAGATGCTCAGAGTGACAGGCCCAAAGCAGCTCCCCAGGGAGGGCTCTACTCAGTACAATTTAGGGAGACTGAGGAGAAGTCCCTGGACCAGTGCCCACAGTATTCCAGCAGATGTGGCTTGGGGGAGCCACAGTCACCATGGGAAGCTTCAGCAGAGCATAGCTCCAATCAGCCAGCCACATACCAGTGGTCAAAAACAGAGGAGAGCTCGGGCTGTGGGGTACAACTGAGGTTGAAGGAGGAACTTGGTGTAGCCCTTACAACATCCACATGTGATGGAAGGGGGGTGGTGGGCGTTTGGAGGACCAAGCACTCACCAAAGGGAGTCAGGGCCAGTCAAGCAGGACCGGATTTAATCCTGCTATGAACGGCTGGACAGTCTATAGGCATAGATTGTTGGCTCACACAGTCTTCACAAATGGGGGAATGGTTTCTGGCTGTAATTTCATTCAGTTATGGATAGAAACGTGTAATTCTGGGCTTGTGAGTTACAGTGTACGAATATCAGAACCTCCACGTTATTGTGCGTGAGAGAAGCACTGTAACAGGGTTTGCCTGAATAGTTTAATAAAGCCACTGCCAAGGTTAGTCCTACTCGGCAACTTGACAAATAAGGATTACCTAGCTTAGGTTGGCCAGTGAGCTGTATGTTAGAGATTATCTTGATTGCCTTATCTGATGTGGGAAGACCCAGCCTGGACATGAGCAGCACCATGGCTCAGGGGGCATTGGACCATGTAAGGGTAGAGAAAGCTAGCCGAGTAACAAGCAAGCACACACTCCTTTCTCTCTGCTTCTGACTGTGGAGGTGACGTTCCTGCTGCCTTGACTTCCTGTTGTGATGAACTTTAACCTACAATTTAAGCTGAATAAAGACTTTCTTCCTTACGTTGCTTTTTATCAGGGCATTGTATGACAGCGACGGAAAGGGAGATAGAGCAGCCACTCACAGTGGGATGCCAGAGAGCTAGGGAGTGGGATGTCATTAGACTCTTATGTACTGATGACATGAAATAGTCATGAAAGAAAGCAAGCAACAGAAGGAAATGCTCGGTGTAACTTGTTTTAGCTGAGGGGGTCGTAGAGAAAGAGGCATCTTTTAGTGTGTTTTCTATTATTAAAACAAGAAAAAAAAACTAAGGTTGGATAACTTCTAAAAAAGAGAAGTTTATTTGCCTAGCAAATCCAGAGTGTTGGTAAGGGGTTTCTTTCTTTCTTTCTTTCTTTCTTTCTTTCTTTCTTTCTTTCTTTCTTTCTTTCTTTCTTTCTTCTCTTTTTCAAAGCAGGGTTTCACTGTTTAGCTCTGGCTGTCCAAGACTTCTCTTTGTGGACCAGGCTGGCCTTGAACTCCCAGAGATCCACCTGTCTCTGTCTCCTGAGTGCTGGAACTAAAGGTGTGCACCACCACTGTCTGGTGGTAAGGGGTTTCTTGCTGTCATAAATAGCATGGTACAGGGTACCATCAAGACAGAGTAAGTGTGCTGGTTTGTGTATACAGGTCTCACATAGCCAAGGATGACCTTGAATTTAGGATCCTTTCATCTTCACCTCTTGAGTGCTGGGATTTCAGGCAGAGATAACCTGGTTTCTGTAATGCTGGAATGGTGTCCAGGAACTGATCTATAACCCCAGCCACCCCCATACAGAAAGACACATTCAAACTATAGCTAGAGGAAAGGAGGAGGGGCGGTAGGCAGTAGGCAGGTAGGCAGGAACTTTTTCCCCAAAGGAGGGATAAAGCCCCTTTCATGTGAAGCTCTGTCACCCAACCTCCTGATCCTCTTACCCGGCCTCTTACCTGCTCATTCTCATTTATTATTTTTTTAAATATTTATTTATTTAGTATACAGCATTCCTTCTATGGCCAGAAGAGGGCACCAGACCACATTACAGATGGTTGTGAGCCACCATATGGTTGCTGGGAATTGAACTCAGGACCTTGGGAAGAGCAGGCAATGCTCTTAGCCTCTGAGCCATCTCTCCAGCCCTACTCATTTATTATTCATTGTATGAGGGCATAACTGCTGTCTTGCTGGCACTGAAATTGTCCCACATGAAGACGGTACTGCCTCTTTAAATATCTAAAAGGAGGTTGGGACTAAAGGAAATGGGACTTGATTCCTTCCACCTGGCTCTGAGAGAGACAGGTTTAAAAACGATGCCTCAAAATTTCAAAGTGGTTGTATTTTATTTGAAGTAATATACTTCTGAAGAGCACATACATATATGTCAGAGCAGCCATCAAGACTAGTTTCTCCCTCCCCTCTTTCCTCTCTCTCTCTCTCTCTCTCTCTCTCTCTCTCTCTCCCTCCCTCCCTCCCTCCCTGTATGTGGACAAAGTAGGAAGAGAGAATCTTATATATGTCTTATATATGCGTGTGTACTCTTTTTTTCTTTTTGAGACAGGATCTTGCTATGCAGTCCAGGTTGGCATGAAACTCCCTATATAGTCTGGGCCTCAGACTCAGAGAAATCCTCCTGCCTCAGCTTCCCAAGTGCTGGGATCACAAACACGCTGTCACGCCTGGCTGGCTATGTGTGTGTTCTTGATGTCCATACATTTATGGCTATGCCTGCTACCTCACAGCCCCTCCGATGCCGGTTGTTCCTTGTATCTCTCAGCTCCGGCCCCCAGTGAAGAATCTCGGTGATGAGAACTTTAAAACAGGGTATGTTTTATACAGAAAACACATGTGAAGGCCGAGATGCTGGTGTGTAATGGCCTGGTTCGTAAGACACTAAAGATGGCAACTGTCTGTTGACCGGCTACCTGGTGCCCCCATGTGGCCATGTTTTGTCATGTGGCACCATGCACCTTAGATGGGTCATCTTTAAAATTACTCATCCAGTTTGTTTTTCAAAAAATTGGAGCGATTCACGTTATCTTTCCAAGCTGCCCTTAGCGAGGCTTTAGTAACGGTACTTAGCATCCACACGTTGACCTCTTGAAGCCGCGGGTGCAGCGGGAGAGTGGAACTGACCGATCAGCAGGAAAGCTGTTCAGACACCCATGGTGCTCGCAGACCCACCCCTTCCTCCCTCCCACCTGTGCTGAGACGCCAGCAGGCCCTCTAAATGAACACGAACAAAGCTCATATGAACTCACAGAGACCAGAGCAGCGTGCACAGGGCCTACACGGGGGTGTGCTAGGTCTTCTGAGCTTATATTATGGCTTCCAGTTTAGTTTTTATGTGGTTTTTGAGCGTGTGAACAAGTGGATCTCTGACTCTTGCACCCTCTCTTGGGCTCTTCTGCTGCTGGTCCGTCTTGTCTGACTGTAATGTGACAGTTTTTGTTTTATTATTTTGTGATGTTCTTAAAGTAATGAATGAGCTGGGCGGTGGTGGCGCACACCTTTAACCACAGCACTCGGGAGGCGGAGGCAGGTGGATCTCTGTGAGTTCGAGGCCAACCTGGTCTAGAGAGTGAGTTCCAGGACAGCCAGGGCTACACACAGAGAAACACCGTCTTGAAAGACAAAACAAAACAAAACCCATAACCAAACAAAAAGAATGCATGAATGAATGGTTCCAGAGAGGGGAGCACTCCTCCTGGAGCTACAGCAAATATTCCCCTGAACTGGAAGCTCAGGCTTCCCCTGGCTACTTTGGGTTTCTGATACCCTTAAGGCAACAAGTTAAGAAAGAAATAACAGTGTTAGGATGGGTGATTGACTCAGATTACCAAGGGAAAAGCTACTTCTCTATAGCGGAGGTAAAGAAGATTATGTCTGGAACGCAGGTGATCCTTTAGGGTGACTCTTGGTGTTGTCATGCCCTGTGATTAAAGTCAATGGGAATTACAATAACTTAATTCAGGCATTAATTGTTTCATTTGAGGTCTGAAGACCAAACTTGAAAACTTTAAATCACCCCTTTTCATGGCAAGCTATATAAATGACATGAAACAAAGAGGTTTTCACTTTTTGCCTACTTGGCCTCATTCCTGCACCCAAGTTTATATATCCTGCTGATTGAGGCATTCTTTCACTGGCATTAGAGCCTGCTTCGTTGGGATTTCAACGTATACTGAAGACCAGCTGAGACAGCGAGCCTTGTGGGCTGAACAGCTACTGTATTCTTGGACTTTTTGTTTGGAGACAGCCATTGTTGAACTAGCTGGACTACAGCCTGTAAACCACTCTAAGAAATTCATATATATATAAACATGGATTTTAATATATATATATATATCTCCAACCTATTAGTTTTGTTCCTCTAGAGAACCCTGACTAATACAGATAGGAAGGGATTATGATAAAAAAAAATGATGAAGCCATTACTGGAGTTTTAGAACTAGCGTCTTGACTCAGGAAGTCCCAAGGGATTAGGTTGGTCAGTCCATTCAAATATGTTAAAGACACAAGAGACAAGTCAACGGAAAGCAGAGAAAGGAGATTTAATCTGTGTGGCACACTAGGAAGAGAAACAGATGAAGCCCATCTGCAGGGCACAGGCAGAAGCTTTAGGTTTCCACGGAGGAAGAGTTGGGGCAGGGAGGTGTGCAGTTCTGGCCGGAGTGCTCTCTGGCTGATCATTATCTTAGGTCTGGTTCTGCAAGGTGACCCAAAGAAATCTTTATTGTTTGAGGGGACTAGCTCATTCCTAGGAGATGTCTGCTCCTGCTTAGGGGGTGTTCTCTTGACAGGGTGATCTGTCTGTGGGCTTTTGCTACTCTCTAAGGGGCCTGAAGGTTTAAGACAATGACATTTGGGAGTCTGGTGCAGGACCCTGTAAAAGCTGATAGGAAGATAATTCAGTTGCTCTTATCTTTGTTTTTGTCTCCAGCTATAAAGGGGGGGGGGATGAAGCTTGTTAGACATCCTTGGCATTTAGACAGTCATTCCTTGAGTTATTAACATGCTTATGTGCAGAGTTAGTAGGTGACTGACCCCAAGTAAAAGAGACATGCAAAATAAGATAGATGCCAGACTTGCATTCATCCTGCTTTGGTTACTCTGTGGGCTCAAGTGAAGAACCAATGCCTTTAGAAGGCATTTTTATTTAGCCATGTGTGCTGATAGACACCTTTAATCCCAGGGATGGGATGATAGAGGCAGGTAGGTCTCTGGGAATTCAAGACCAGTCTGGTCTATATATAGTGAGTTCCAGAACAACAGACAGCTACATAACAGTCTCTCTCGCTCTCTGTCTGTTTTTTCTTTTTTTCAAAACAGGGTTTCTTTGTGTAACAGTCTTAGCTGCCCTGGAACTAGTTCTTGTAGGACAGGTTGGCCTTGTTGTGTTGTTTATTTATTTAAAAATAAAGTATAAAGTCGTGGTAAATAAAGTATTAACTCAAACTTTTTTTTTTTTTTTTGGGCTTTTTGAGACCAGTGTTTCTCAGTAGCTTTGGAGCCAGTTCTGGAACTTGCCCTGTAGATCAGGCTGATCCTGAACTCACAGAGATCCTCCTGCCCCTGCCTCCCAAGTGCTGGGTTTAAAGGTGTGTGCCACTACCAACTGGCTAAACACTTATTTTTAAAATTACCTATAGTACTCTGTGATTTATCATAAATTTTGTTAAATGTGTAGATGATTGTACCAGCTGCTATAATCATCATACATGAAGATTTTTCTCAGTCCCCCAGCTTCCTTCATGCTATAGTTTGTATTCAATCCCTTCTTCAGCTTTAAGCTGTAGCAGCATTTCAATTGTATTTTGAAAAATAAAGACTACCTGAAGATCCGAGAGTAAAACAGCCCCACTAATCAGCCTTATAGACCAGATAATGGTAACACACACCTTTAATCCCAGTAACCACAATGACACATACCTTTAATCCCGGTATCCACAATGACACACACCTTTAATCCCAGTATCCACAATGGCAAGAATCTTTAATCCCAGTAGCCACACTAGTTGACATAGAAACCAGGCAGTGCATGTCTTTAATCACGGTGGTGCACACCTTTAATCCCAGCCCTAGAGAAGATTATAAAATGGGAGGAAACCACTCTCAACACATAGTCTGTTTCTGAGATTGCTGGAGACAGGATCACTATTTCAGACTGAGGATGAGGTAAGAGCCAGTGCCTGACTGCTTTGGTTTTCAGATTTTCATGTTGAACTCAATTTCTCTCTCTTATTTTTTTTTTTTTTTATTAAGCATGCTTCACTGAGTCCTAGGAATCACTGATTTTTTTCCCACCACCTTGGGAGCTCACCTCTCTAAAAGACTATCATACATATGGGGTCATGAGGCAAGCACATAGTTTTGTGGATGTGGTTCATTGACCTAGCACAAAGATTTCTGAGATTCATCTGAACTATCATATCTACCAATGACCAGATTTTGATGCAGAAATTGTTTAACCTTAAACTTTGAACTGATCGAAGTCTTTTTGAACATTTCATGAAAGTACGGTCTTCTGGCTGTTAGTTGAAGGGAGCATGCGGCAGCTTCCATTCAGGCCTGTTTCCTCCGGTGTTCTCTCACTTCTACTGGGTGCCTGGAACCAGCTCCAGTCTTGCTAACTCGCTCTGGGTTCCCTCTGTCTCACAGGATCTGGACGGCACCTGTGAGCTCTGGTTCTGAGCTGGGGTGGGATTGCGGGGAGGATACTGCCGCCTCCAGGGGACGCTTCTGAGCTCGGAGTCCAGCAGCCCCATAGTTCTCTGGCTGGGGCACCTCAGTGTTGCTTGGTTCCAACAGTGGGGGGGCGGGGCTGTCTACTGGCTTCCAGACAAGAGAGCAGATCGCCCTAGTGTCACTTTTATCAGCAGTAGGGGGTGCGCGCTCTCCCCTCGTGGGGCCTTTGCTCGTGCCCTTTCTTCGCTCACACGTTCCAGCACCGCGTCATAGGCGACACACTCGACAGTGCGTGCCTTACTGTCGGCTCCTTCGGCAGCTAGGGAAGCGTCTTTGAACCGTTGACTCCCTTTGAAGGCGTCGATAGTGCAGAGCTGTCCGGACCGGTGGTTACTTGGGGCGGACTCGCCTTCACTGTCCGTTCCGGACTGTGTCCACTGGGGACCTCCAGAAGAGGCCCTCGCTGCCGGTCCACAGTGTTTCCCGGTCTCTCCGGGCTAATTCCATGGACCGGTGTTTGAACATGGCTGACAGCCTACCTTTTGAAGATGATGAGGCTTTAGCCGATTCCCAGGAGCACCCTGGGCGCGTGGTGGTTGTTCACACGCGGCGATATTTAGTGGAGAAGGTTTGGGACTTACTCATCGGAGTATTTTCCTCAATGTTCTTGTGTGGTCAGCACAACTCAGTGCCGATGCTGTCAAATTCCAGGATGTTCCGAGGCTCCGTGATCCTGAGAGTGATCTCTACTAAGGGCAGAGCCATACTGTGTTTTGTTCTGGGGCAGCCGATCCTGAATTTATGGTCTTTTCTCACTGGCTACCTCTCCACTCAATTTAGTGCTCTCCAAGTGAGCAGCAAAAACAAAAGAGTGAGACAAAAGAAAAAGAAAAACCCCAGTACCTTGAGAAAAAGTGGAGAAGTATTTGCCAAGCAGGAGGAAGGCTCCCCAGTCATAAAGAGGCCTTCTGATCAGGAAAAGGACTCTGATGGTGGTGCGAGTGTCCAATCTGCATTTAGATGCCTGATTGTCAATGATGTACTCTCTTCTTTTATACCCAGGCCTGGTCCTTTAGGTATGAATTTCTGTTCCAAGAATCCAGCAAAGAGCTGTATTAAAGAATCCCAGGTCGCATTCAAGAGCTCATACAAACGGAATGCCATCGCCAGCTCCTACAGTTCCACTCTAGCACAATGGCCACCCGAGAGAGTTCCTACACGGGCTACCGGACGTGCTACCCCAGGTACTGCTTCAGGCGCTACGGCAGGAGCTGCTACACAACCTACCCGAGGTGCTGCCCCCGGTTCTGCTTCGCGTGCTGCGGCAGGTGCTACCCGAGGTGCCGCCTTAGATGCTGCTGCAGGTGCAACCTACGGTGCTGTCTCTGGTGCTGCTTCAGGGGATGCCCCAGATGCTGCTGCAGGTGCTAGCCGAGGTGCTACCCAAGATGCTGCTGCAGGTGCTACCCGAGGTGCTGTCCCTGGTGCTGTTTCAGGAACTGCTGCAGAAGCTGCAGCACAACCTACCGGAGGTGCTGCCCCAGGGGCTGCCCCAGATGCTGATGTACGTACTACCCGAGCTGCTTCAGGTGCTGCTGCAAACGCTGCTTCAGGGGATGCCATAGATGCTGATGCTGATCTAGATGCTGTCTCAGATGCTGCACCATGCACTCTACCGTTCCCCAGCCAAGACTCATCCCAGTCAACGGAGGCTACAAAGAAAGGAGATGAGAAAGGCGATGCACCTTCAGGTATTTCGAAAAAAAAGGAAAAGAGAGAAAAGAGAAAAAAAGAAAAGAAGGAAAGAAAGAAAGCCAAACAAGCAGCTGCGGCAGCTGCCGCAGCTGCTGCAGAAGCGACTCAAGACAAGCAAGGCAAGCAAGGCAAGCAAAGCAATCCAAAGAAGGGCCTCTCCACATCTGATATTCCAAAGCCTGCGAGGCGCAAGGTCCCTTTGTTCCCGCCTCATAGAAGAGACATCCCACTGGTTCTGCCCCCACCTCCAGAACTATGTTTCCGAATCACTGTAGAAGACTTTGACTTAGAGAAGAAAATTGCCATGCAGTGGATCAACAAGGTCTTGAAGGGTAAGTGTAAGGCTGCATGGTCAGCAACACCACACAGCTTTCCTGGCTTCTGCTGTGCCTTGCTGCGGGGATCTCCCTCCATCACTCCTTCAGAGCAGAGAGAGCACCAGGAAGACACAGAGTCCTAGGCCTGGTACCCTTCTCATAATCTAATGACTGCCTCTGTGGGTCGCTTCTCTTGGTTCTCTAAATCCCACTTTGCTTTGTCTGATTATAAAGAAGCAAATAGAGTTCCTGGCACATAGAGGGTCTGTCTCCTAAGTACCTGTCTGCTTGGCCTTCGTTAATTGTTTAGTCTAGCTTTGTTCTTGAGGCAGCCCAGGACTCACCAAGCCTATGGGAACTATGGTGGACTCACTTAGATTGCTAACTTTGCCCAGAGACACAGTGTTTTAGTCTTACCCACTTTGTTCTAGAAGTCAGAGTTGGGTGATTGGAGGATGTTGATCTAACCCAGTGATCCTGGAATATACAAGGGGCACTTTGGGTTGATTTTCCTCTAGGTGAGGACCATCGGGTGGCTACTGCTGATGGAGTTGACAGCTTCTGCCCCTCTCCCTTGTTTATTTGCACAGCACACACACACACACACACACACACACTGCTTGGTGTTAGAAATGAGTTGTCTGTCTTCCCAGAGGCCACATACACAACCAAGAGGGCCTCGAGCTGTGGTTCTCAACCTTCCCAATGCTGCAACCATTTAATACAGTTCCTCATGCTGTGGTGACCTAAAACCAGAAAATTATTTTTATTGCTACTTCATATTGTAATTTTGCTACTGTTATGAATCATAATGTAAATATCTGGTATTTCTGATGGTCTTAGGTGACCCCTGTGACTCCCAAAGGGGTTAAGACCCACAGGTTTGAGAACCTCTAATCTAGATTAATCACTTCATATGACGTCTATTATATCAAAAACTTTTGTATTTATCAAGTCCCCTTCAGTTTTCTTCACATACTTACTCTTGTTTACGTCTTTTACAGATGATGGAATCAAGGCCCGCTGTAATTAAATGACCCAAGGATGACCACATCACCGGATACATAATACTGGTCTCCAAGCAACCAGTTTCTGAACTCTATCTGTGTAGTTTAACATCACATTCTATTTAGAACCATTTTGATACTTAAATAAAATTGTTACCTAGGATGTTTGCTGTAGCATCCCATTTGTACTCGTGTGTGTGGTGCGTGTTATCTCATAATATGATTGTGTGTTCCTTCTGTTGGACACAGCTATGATGTACACATCCCCTTGGAAGCAAGCCTCCCCAACTTCCCTTGCCCATCCTGAGGATGGTCATTTGTTGCTGAGGGTTCTGACTCAGGATATTCTTTGACCCTTCATTCCTCAGGACACTGCAGTGGTACCAATTTTCTAGTCAGAGCCTTGGGGAAGGTTATTTTTTCTTCTTGGAACCACCCTGTCCTATTTTATCTTATTTTTTTTTTACTTCTGTTGCTGTGATAAAATACTCTGATCAAAAAAGCAACATAAGGGAGAAAGCGCTTATTTGGCATACAATTCCAGGTTACAGTCCATTACTGAAGTAAAGTCAAGGCTAGAACTTGAAGCAGCTGGTCGCTTTCCCAGTCAAGGGCAGGGAGAATCAATGCATGCATGTTTGCTGTGTTCAGTTCCATCCTGACACGTACACTGTTCAAGACTCAAACCCTGGGAGTGGTACCACCTGTCATGGATGAGTCTTCCCGTCTTAATCAAGCTGATTAAGACAATTCCCCATAGACATAACCACAGACCAACCAGATCTAGACAGGTTGAGATGATTCTAGGTTGTGTCAAGTTGACAATTAAGACTAAACATCATATACTCTGTCTCTAGCCACCAAAGCAACTGTCTACATGTTCTTAGCAAGCTGAACCACTTTTGGCGGCACTATGAGCTCTCATCTCTGGTTTCCAGGTTCTCAGGTGGGCAATGTGAGATGAATAGGCAAATCCATCATTCCCTAGTGTATTTTGTTCCATATCACTTTCACAATTTTTTTTTGCCTTCTACATTCTATGGTTTTACATGTGAAGTGTTTACATGGTTAACAAGTAGATTCTTGATTTTATGTCTTGGTTTAGAATTTCTCTCAGTCCACAGGTGTCAACTTAAATAACAAAGAGACTGCCCAAAGACTGTTAATTTTATCCAGAAATGCACATTGTGGTAGAGATGTGTGTACCATGGCTAGTTATACATGTATTCAAGGAGGTGGAGACAAAGAGGAGACAAGAGGATCATATAATTTATTTTGAAATAATGAGTTTTGGCTACAAGTATCAATAGCAACAGTGGCATTGCCCTGAGGTTAAGCAAGACAGATAAGGTTCAGGGTGGACCATGCATTCTTTCAGAATTATTTTCAGTGTAAGGTTATTTACCCCCACACAAGGTTATGATCTGGCAGGGTTTTAAATTGGCCAATTTTATTAGGCACAGGTACATGAGATCCCTTCCTTGATAATCTAAATTTATTTCTTTGAGTATAACACAAATAACTCCATTTTGATCCAGACAACTTCCACATAGACTACTCACATAAACACAATTATGGCTATTGTAATATGTTACAATATGGGGGAGCACAGATAAGTAAGATTCTTAATAATCTGACCTTGAGGTGGCACATAGCCCTAGATGGTTTAGATGGGCCCAACACCGTGACAAGGATCCTACTTAATGAAAGGGGGAATCAGCAGGGCTAATGTCAGAGTTAGAGATTTCTAATGACGGAAGCAATACGTGACTGCCCGTGAAGAGGCAAAGGACCAGGAGCCAACTAACAAAGGTGCTAGAAGCTGCAGAAGGCGTCCCAGCAGGAGTGCAGCTGGCTCTTCTGACTCTTGATTTCGAGAAGCCCAGGCAATGAAACACCACTTGTCAGGTAACCTCACCTTCACTTAGTGAAATAAACTACGGGCTGGGAGGTCTTGTGTCAATACAAACTAGAGTCATCTGAAAGGAGAGAACCTCAACAGAGAAAAAAAAGAACGACTCCATGAGATCCAGCTATAAGCTATTTTCTTAATTAGTGATTGATGGGGGAGGACCCAGCCCATTGTGGGTGGTGCCATCCCTGGTCTGGTGCTCCTGGTTCTGTAAGAAAGTGGACTGAGCAAGCCATGGGGAGCAAGGCCGTAAGCAGCTCCCCTCCACAACCTCTGCAAGGGCTCCTGCCTCAGATTCTTGCCCTGTCTTGAGTTCCTATCCTGGCTTCCTTCAATGATGAACTACAGTGTGGAATTGTCAGACGAATAACCCTTTTTCTCCCTAACTTTAGTGTTTGATCACAACTACAGAAATCCTAAGACATAGCATATACTGACATGGGGAAGTGTCCCTTGCTTAATGTCCCTCAACTCAGAATTTGGTTTCAAACATCATTTGAGCATATAAAGACATAAAGATCGTCTGTACGCCACAATATTCTGGTGGTTCAAAGATGGGGGCTGTTAGATGGATTTGGGGAATTTTCATCTTCTGCCAACACTACTGAAGTTCCTGATTCATGTTTCCTATTTTCCCTCAGGCATAGGAAGGTACGATTTGCTTTCAGAAACTGTGTGGCAGGCTGGGTTTGGTGGTGCATGCCTATAATCCCAGCATCCAGGGGTTCAAGCAAGAAGTAGCAGTTCAAAGCCATTTTCTCCTACATAGGGAGTTTAAGCCTTGGCTACATGAGACTCTCCAACCCCACCCCTCCCAACAACCAACTAACCAACCAACCAACCTAAAATAAAGTCCAAACCATATCAGAATGTAGTTACTTTAATCCATTTGTTTTTATTCAAAAATAGATTATGCTGGGTAATTGCATAGAAAAGGGATTATTAACTCAGTTTAGCATCTGAACTAACAGCATGACACCAGCTCTCTGAGGACTGAGGACTGGCTCTGTCACATCATCACGGATGACAGCGTGGATGGATGATGGTGGTATGGGAGGAATGAGAGTAAAAAGAGGAACCCGCTACATCGGTAGGATACGAGAGAGAGAGAGAGAGAGAGAGAGAGAGAGAGAGAGAGAGAGAGAGGTCTTTTGTTTTTTTTATACCTACTCTAGAGAGAAACAACCCCATTTACCCAAAGAGCACTCTCCTGTAATTTAATAGCCTCCTGCTACATGCTGTCTCCAAAGAGCCTCACCACCTCAATATTACCACACTGTGCACCAAGCTTCTAAAAAAGGTATGCTTGGGGACACAAATCAACCAAACCACAGTAACGGCGAGCATCGAGATGGGCAAGCTTGCCACACAGCTATAGAGAAGCTTGCTGTGTAGACCTGATTGTCCTGGAGCTTGCTGTGTAGACCAGGCAGGATTTTTATTAATTTTTTATTGCTTAACCACTTTTTAAAATTTTTTTTATTTTTTTAAAGATTTATTTATTTATTTAATTATTTATTAATCATGTATACAGTGTTCTGTCTGTATGTGTGCCTACAGACCAGAAGAGGGCACCATATCTCATTATAGATGGTTGTGAGCCACCATGTGTGATGGAGGAGGGTTATCTGTCTATTGTGTTATTTTCATTGGTCAATAAAGAGACTGCCTTGGCCCCTTGATAGGACAGAAAATTAGGTAGGCGGAGTAAACAGAACAGAATGCTGGGAAGAGGGCAATGAGGCAGACGCCATGGAGCCAGCCACCAAGTCAGACATGCTGAATCTTTTCCGGTAAGCCACCACCTCGTGGTGCTACACAGATTTTTAGAAATAGGTTAATATCAAGATATGAGAGTTAGTCGGTAACTAACTCTCTAGAGATAATGGGCCAGGCAGTGCTTAAATGAATACAATTTGTGTATTGTTATTTCTGGGACTAAGCTAGCCATGTGGGAGCCGGGTGAGGCGAAAAGCAGGCCTGCCCGCAGCCCCTCACTACAGATGGAGCCCACGTGGATAACTGAATCCACAGAAAGCTTGAGAAAGCTTGGGAAAGAATAGAGTAAAGCATGTTTTCTTGGTAGCAGCAATTTCTCGGGTCTGCTTGCTAGAGGCAAGCAAATGCTCTCGTCTAAGAGAGGCTTCCTGACTCAGCTTTAGCTACAAAACCCTGCAGCTCATTAAGAGGTCCTGCCACGAAACACTTACGGTGTTGATCAAAAGCTGAATGCATGCTTTTCGGTTTTCAGCCGTAGCAGGAAAAAAGCTGTGCTGTTTTAAAATGCCGGCTTTCTGGACTGTCCTGCCAGGGCAATCTCTGACTCTTTCAGGCAGGCAGTCCGACTAAGTGTGGTCTGTGAGCAGAATGCTGCAGCTTGCTTGCTAGCAAGGACCTTGAAACGCCATAGAGTTGTGGCAATGAACACAGCTCTGGCTGGTACCTCAGCCATGATGATGGAAAGCAAAATAATGGGCTGGATCTAGCTGTCAAAGCCACGGCTTTAGTCCTACCGATATTGCTTGCTAAATTAAAGACTCATGTGGTCAGAAAAAGAGAGATATACAGTAAAGAGAGATTCAAAGACGAAGAAAACCTCTAAATTGTTTATAATGTGTTACAAATAAATGCAGGATAAAAGTTAAAGTTCTTAAAGTAAAAAGAGAGTAGTTAGGTGTGGTGGTACTCACCTTTAATCCCAATGCCCGGGAGGTAGAGGCATATTGACCTCTGTGACTTCAAGGTGTGGTAGCACACACCTTTAATCCCAATGCCTGGGAGGCAGAGACAGAAGGATCTTTGAGTTCAAGGTGTGGTAGCACACGCCTTTAATCCCAGCACTGGGGAGCAGAGACAGACAGATCTCTGTGAGTTCAAGGACAACCTGGTCTACAGAGTTATTCCAGGACAAAGATATACAGAGAACCTGTGTCAAAAAGTAAAAGAAAAAATAAAAGAAATAGAGGTTAAAAATAAAGCTGCATAAAGATGGAAAATACACAGAGAATCTTGATACTGTATGCTATTATGCTCTCTTTGAATTGTTTGAATGCTGAGGAAGGAGCAACAGCTGCTAAAAGATATTTGTTTATAAATGCTGCTGAACTAATCCAAGATAGATATGTTGAAAATACCTTGACTTCTGAATTTGGATCTAAGGATATGATACTTTGGAAAGGAGGTTCTTCTTTTGTTTTCACAGAGGATGAGACCCTGTGGATTGCTTCTATCCC